ACCTGCTTATGGTGCATTAGACTGTCAGAGGTGTGTCTCACTAATCATTGGTGGGACAGAGACCCCGGTATGTCTGTAGTATGCCAGTATCTCTGCTAAGTAGGCTGTATAGGACTTTATGGCTGAGGCCAGAGGTCAGGAAGCTTCTTTAATAAAGTTTTAGGTAGTAATTATTTTGACCTTTGCAGGCAGGATGATTTCTAACACAACTCTTAAACAGCTATATAAGACAAAGTAGCCTCAGATAGTACACAAATGAAAGAATATTACTTTTTTACAAAAATTTTTATTTGTAGACACTAAAATTTGAATTTTGTATAAATTTTGTGAGTCATAAAATATTGTTATTTTTGTTTTTTAGACCATTTGAAAATGCAAAAAAAAAAAAAAACATTCCCAGTTTATAGGCCATACAAAAACAAGTAGCAGACTAGATATGGCCCATGGACCATAATTTTGCCACCCCTGGTCTAAGTTACAATAAAGAAAATATAATTGCTTGAAGATATAAAAACAGAATTTCTTCAGGAATACAAAGATGAGATTTGGTCCCTTCTAGTTGAAAATCTCATGAAGGTGGTGACATTTGAGTTGATTTAAAAGATGTGATTTTCACAGATGGAGTGAAAGACCACACACCTAGGCACTTGTGAGAGTAACGAGAGCATTCTTTATGGGTATTCCAGGACAACAGGTGTAAATCCTGGCTGTCCCATGCTAATGGGTACATATGGTTGCCCCAGGAGGAGAGTCTGGAGATGCTATGAGCTGAGTAGTGCTTGACCCCTCGAATGGTCAAGAAACAATGAACTGCATATCAATGAATGAAAGAGTCCAAGTTGGTTAAAGCATGTGGAAAAAGAGGCATGGGAAGTAAAGTAGAAAAATAGTCTGGGGCTTGAATTAGAACCGGACTTCTATAATCTTTAACATGAAGCTAAGACATTTGGAAATTATTAAGTAGGTGGTGGAGAGGCACCAAAACAATAAAATGATGGCACCACATATCATTGATATCCGATGTACAGAGAGACTAGGACCAGACAGAAACTACTTGCAGGAGCCCAATTAAGAGACCATGGCAATAGTTTGAAGACAGAATAAGAGAATTTGGACTGAGTCCAGGCAACAAGAATACAAAGGGAGCAGTGGATGAAAGACACATCAGAGAGAAGGAGTGAAGATAACTTGTCAATTGAATATAAAAGATACACTAAGAAAAAGGGAACTGAAAGGAAGGTCCCAACATTTTCAGTCTAGGTGAGTGTAATTGAACTATATTTGTGGGTTAGAGATAGGAGGCAAAAGAAAATCTGCAAATGCATATTATAACGGGGCTCCAATTCTTCCTGAATTTAGAAAACAGATATCAGGTAGTAATAGTGCTTCTGTAACTTAACTTTTGAAAATACTTTCATGCTGGGGCAGCTCAATCTGGATAAAGTTTTGGGTGGCTTTTTGATAAATGAGGGCGCTTTGTAAACGTGGGGTTTTGACTTGGAGGAAGAGTGAGGAAGACAGTTGGGATATTTCTCTGTAACTATTCTTCCTTTCATCTTTCTGGGACCCAGTGGGATGCAGCCCATTTTTAGCTTAGTACAACGGTGCTTAGTGCTTGCTGTGAAAGTAAAAATGAGCCCACCTGAGGAAAAGATACAGCTGTGACAGCCCTCTAGCTAGAATATGATTCAGAATGACTTTTACCCATAGCTCATACCATATAGTGATCTCACTAGCTGTTCTGAGAGTTTTTAGAATTATCCAAATTAAATCCTTGGTTTAAAAAAAAAAACTCATTTTCTATAGAACATTTGGGAGTGTGATAGATGTCCTAGAGTGGAAAGAAATAAAAATGATAAGAAGCTACAACTTCTAGAAGTTCAATTGGGCATCTGATATATTCCTTTACTTACAAAGGGATGCTCAATCTATATTTATATTTTGTCCAATTACAATTTTTCCAGTAACTCTCTAAACACCAGCCGCCTTTCTTCTCAAGAGAATATATCTGAAGAAAGGGAGACAGGCAAATAATTGGGGGGGGGGGAAAAACAGATAATTGTAATTACCTAAAAGTATTACATACACACATGCAAAACACCAATTTTTTAAAAAAGAGAAATTCTAAAACAATGAAAGAAACCAAATCACTACCAGAGAAAGTTTAGAAATTATTAGAGTTCCTCCTCTTTGTGACTCTTAAATTTTGTATTCATGATGTTCAGTTTGTTCAACCTTCTCTTGTGTTTAAAAACAATAAAATTAAACAGTCTGGCCATGGGGTATGGTTTGCTACTTCTCTAAAGTAGTTTGCCAGAAACTAATTTGAAGGCGTTGTCTTTGCTGTCTGTGGAATAGAACTATCCTAAATTACAGTAAGAAAGCTCTAAAAATACTATCCTACTGTGGAAGAGCCGGCTAGAGGAACGTTGTGTGGGCATGGACTAGTCCCCCATGCTCTAGTGTATCCCCAGCACACACACACACACACACACACACACACACACACACACACACACATACAAAGAGGAATCATGTGTAAAAAACCCCATCTGCAGCCAAAATCTAAACTGATGCCTTTTTGTCAGTGCAAGTGGTGAAGGCATGTGGGTTTTACTTGTTGTAAAATTTCTATTTGAACTCCTCCCTTTGCATCGTGACCTATACTTTGACATTGCTAAGCTCTTCATTTATTTTTCTAGTATGTTTACCTGACCTTGTGCTCACTGCATAACATTATCAATATACCACATTACAATAAATAAGTAACATTAAGCCATTTAAATATACATTATAGTGTTTATTATGTATGATATAAACATATAGATGTAAACACTATAGATACCTAATGCCAGTTGGTGGGTAGATCTGGCTTTGCGGCCAATCACATCCCTATCTTCCTCTTCTTGATAATTATGATCACACACCAGGGCATTGACATCTTCAAGATTTCTAATTAAAGCACTCCAGCTCCTTCTTTGTGCTGTTGCCTAGAGGTATTTCCTATTAGGTGTTGGCTACTTAACAATGGTGCTGGTAGGATGAGACCCTGATCTTGAAAAGGATGTGTCAGAATGCACATTAAACAGATCTCTGCTCACACCTAAGCAGGATTTTGCTTTCAAGGGTTGTTAAAGAAAAATAGAGTGCCTGTTTTCTTCTCTTTTTATCATTCTCATAATTCTGAAATACAAATGGAATTTTAAAATCTCTAGGTTAAAATTGAATTTAAACAAATGATAATTGTTTTCTGGACTGGACACAGTTAACTTTATGAAAGATTCATTTCCTATAAAGCATTATGGGAATGGGTGCAATTATTTTCGGACATAGCTATTTTGAATCTTAACAGAAAATTTTAATCATATTGACATAACTAGTAGGTTTAAAAGTTTAGGCATTAGAGACCTATATATTTACCTGCCTTCATAACTACCTCTCATGCTTCTTAAGTATGTTAACTCACAATTATTACTTCTGGCAACCAAAATCATTCTTAGGAAACTCACAAAGTTATGTATATTAAAGCAAAAAGATATAACAGGACTTTATCAGTGTAAGTAGTACCATGTCTATTACTGTACAATTATCATTCATTACTACTGCTATAATACAGCATTATTAGTGTAGCTGGATATTATTTCAGTTTGCTCCTCATAAATTTGCTTTGAAAGGCAGGCAGTGTTTTTATATTCCCAGTGAGAAAACTTAGATTAGATAATCAGCCAAAGCCACCAAATAATATGGGAAAACTCTAGGTCTGCCTGATGCTATACTATTGCTGCCACTAGAAATGGTGTGAACTTCACCTGCTTTTGCTGAAAGATCAGAGTATCCATTTGCCCTCAATAACTAGAGTGTTTTGCTATGAAATTTTTCATGTGCAACCTTTAATCCTGTCAAAAGGGGCAATCTTTTTCTTTACTAACAGGTTTGTCATTAAGTTTCAACTAAAGAATGACAATATTGTTCACATTCACAGCTTTGACATAGCTTTGACCTTCCAAAACACTTAACTCTAAATGAAGTGCAATATTGGGACAGGAAATACTTCAGTTGAAAACCTTGAGTATTTGCTGGATGCTGGCATGGCATGTGACCTTTACCAAATCACTTAGTCTCTCTAAGTTGAATTTGCTCTGAACCTAATTTGACACAATATCTAGTTTTTAGAAGATCTGGAAAATGGAAAGTTTGGAAACATTTTTAATGCTTTATATACATTTTTGTTAGAATAGTTATAACTCTATTCCTTAAAGCTAGTAATATAGTCAATATTTCTTTAACAAGAGTACCATTAAAATTTGTATATAGAAAGAAGATAAAGAAAGTAGGGATAAAAAAATGGCCAATAAATTTACACTACATGTTGGAAAGACACGAAGAGGAAAACCATCCAATAAAGAAGCTTAAATTACGTTTTCAAATTTAAGAAGAAGAACTACTTGATGTTGGTGTGTTTCGAACTCTAAAAATATTTTACAAATAAGGAACTAAAAGAGAAGGAGTGCTAAGAAGTCTGAGGGAGCTTCTTCAACTGTGGAACCATGTTACTAATATTTTTGATTACAAAAATGCATCTTGTCTAACTGACAGAATTTTTGCATGTAAAATGGCATATCACTATTATTATACCTTTTATTTATATTTTTGTGCAGTAAACAAATCATTTGGGACTTCTTTTAATTCTTTATTCCTTTTTTGTCTTTAGGAATTTTACAGATGTTCTGTGCTGCATAATCTTCCTACTGTTTATTATGGGCTACATTGTTGTAGGACTTGTGGGTGAGTAAATACAGCTTTAGATGGTGTTTAACACTTGATAATGGAAAAACTAAGTCAATTTCACATTTTAAAATTAAGTTATTTTTCTCCCGAAAGCCTTCTTTTGTTTTCTTCTGTTTTGTTTTCTGGAAGAAACTCTGTTATTGATCAGGACTCACAGAGCAGCAGACATAGTACAAAATGAACAAAGCAGTCTAGTCAAATGCAAACCAAAGTTACTCTAGTAAATACAGTTGTAAAGAAAAAAAGAAACTAGTAATTCCTCTTTTCAATATTTGTACTTTTGAAATTCTATCAAACAGTTGATTATATTAATGTTGCTATTTACTAATAAAAACCAGGGCCTCGATCAGTTTATTTAATATATAAACCCTCTCTTTTTATGAGAAAATTATAAAGAAGTACAATTATTAACTATTTCAACATATAACTCATTGACATTGAATGAGGTCCGTTCTCATCTCCAGAAAGAGATGTCTTGTTAGTTACTATTAGGTTAAAGATTTTTCTAGGAAGTGAAAATATAGAGGATAAATACAGAGGGTTTTTTTTTTCCCATGGATTTGTTTTTAAATCTATCGAGTGAACTAGTGTGGATATATTCTGTAAAAAGGCTTCACCATTGTATGTAAGTGTGATATATACATTTTTCCTCTGAGACATGTCTTATCATTTAGATGTCAACTTAGGAAAATGTAATAGGCTGTTAGGATGAGAGCTGTGAAAGTCAGATATTGTAGCACAAATAATTAATGGCATGAAGTTAATATGGATAGAATATATTAGCAGAAATTTGTGTGCTACCTCAAGAACAAGTCAAAATTCTTTTCCCTGATCTTCAATTTTTTATTATAAAAAGAGAAGCACTTTGAGAACAGCCATTAAAAATAACTTATAAAAGATGGTCTCCATATTATCATGAAGAAAAAAAACTATACAGAATTGGAAAATTCAAAAAATTAAGGCAGGAAAATAGGATAAGGGAGTAGAATATACTCCTGTATAGCCTTCAGAACATCCCTTTGTTCTTTCTTAAGTATTTTAACATCTAAATTTTAATGTACATATAGAACAATGTGTAATCTATAAGTTGCATATTGTAATAAAGTGAATTTCCTTTCTACAGCAAGTAGAATTTTAGCTCCTCTAATTTTGGGGCACATCTTTCTTGTCTATGACTTTGTTGGTTTTTATTTTTTGTAAAAGAGTTGAAATTTATTGTAGAAGAAGGAAGATTTGGCATCAGGCAGACCTAGAGTTTCCCCATATTATTTGGTGGCTTTGGGCTGATTATTCTAACCTAAGTTTTCTCACTGGGAATATAAAAACACTGACTGCCTTTCAAAGCAAATTTGTGAGGAGCAAACTGAAATAATATCCATCTACACTAATAAGGCTGTATTATAGTAGTAGGTAGTAATTTGTTTGCTACCAATGTATAAGTAATATATTCTGAATTTTAATAAATTTCTTTTAAATGTAATTTACTATATTGTTTCTCTTGAAACCCGTAATTTTGGTTATTAAGTTTGAATGCACGTAAGAACTTCACAGAGACCTCATCCTGTGACCAGATTCTTTCCATTAGGAGACCTTATTCCATAATCAGATAAGTATCTCCTACATATCTCAAAGCCAGCTGGATGTAATTCACAAAGGAATGCCTTTTGTTCTTATATGGAACTGGAAAAGCCACTGCCACTCTCCTACAGACGCAAAGAGGGGAGGGTGTGTCATCATTCACTCTGGAGCAACACAAAATATTTACCTTTTTTT